AAAAAGAAGAAAAAAAGAAGAAAAAATAAGAAAAAAGAAGAAAGAAGAAAAAAGAAGGAAAAAAAGAAGAAAAAAAGAAGGAAAAAAGAAGAAAAAAAAGAAGAAAAAAGAGAAAAAAAAAGAAGGAAAAAAGGAAGAAAAAAAGAAATAATAGAAGAAAAAAAAAAGAAGAAAAACAAGAAAAAAAAATAAGGAAAAAAAAGAAAATTATGCATAGTTTCCAAGAAATTGTATAGTTACTATCAGATGCCTCATTTTAGACTATCAGATGTCTGTGTTGATACCTGTATATGGCTCTGTCTCTTAGACTTATGTAGTAGTGAATGTACACGACTGATCATCCCCACAGGTTTGAGACGTAAGTAAATTACATGAAAAACCCTGATAGTAGCCCTGATAGTGCTTTGAGTTGGCCCATCTTAAATTCTCACCTATATAATTTCAATCAAGGAAGTGTTGACTTCCTTTGCAATGCCACCTTAGCATGTCATTGGTGTCTCCCTCAAAAGATGATACCATGTCATAATAATTGTAATTTAAGTTGAAATTTCACATTTGCATTTTCTGTTAAAATGATTCGCACTCTGAATTTCAGACATCTAGCTTCAGAAGTCTGGACAAGAAGCATTTCCTGATCTTCAGGTGATCATCCACTCATACAGATGTAACATATTTGACAGATTCTGTATCAGACAGAGCTACAAAGTAGGTCTACTTTCAACTTTGTAGTCAACTGCTGCAATAACTCAAAAAAACCCCCTAAATAAAGTTGCTGTATGAGTTTAAAGAGAGGCTAGAAAAAAACATTTCTAAAAGAAAAGGCCAGAAGGTATTCCCTGGAATGACGGTCTCGGCAAGCTTGTCACGGATATATAAATGAGCATGTAACAGTACCCAATTCTTTCCAAAGTAGTTATTGGGAAAACAACCCTGATGGCCAGAACATGGCATGGATACAGGTTGCTCCAAGGGTATCAAGAAATCGGACTTAGAGATATTAGGAAGAAAAAAGACTTTACCAACAAGAGCAGCCAAAGATGGAAATGGAAGCCCAGAGAGGTTATCCATGGAGATACTCAAGATGTGACTGGACAGGGCCTTGAGCAACCAGCTCTCATGGCAAAAATTTGGCCCTTCTCTGAGTTGTGGACTGGACCACAAGACCTCCTGATGTCTCTTCTGGCTTCAATTAGTTAATGATTTTTTTTTCTTTCCTCAATAGGTCTAACTACTTTTTTCAGTTTAATAAAAACCTTCCAGACCTTCCAAAATCTTTTTAGTTTTCTAAAGCTTTCATTTTTTGAGGCATTTTAGAAATAAAACTTTTGCTGAAAAGACCATATATTTAAAACAAATATCTACTCTCACCCACATTTAAAAGATAATCAGTGTAAAAATAGCCACAAAGAGAACTCTTACCTTTCTGAGGTAGTTTGGGAAGAACTCTAGGGCCAAGTGCAGTCTTTGCAGTCCCAGTGCTAAATCAACAGATGTGAATTATTAGTGCTTACAACTGTTATAAAATATATTTATTTTTCATTTTCCCCTCTACACATCCATAATTAAAAAACCCAAACCAAACAACCAAAATCCACATCTATTTTGCTTCTTTCATATAATCATCTTGTCTGTGGATCAATCCCAAAACACAAAGCACTGTAAAGAATTAACTGCTTGGGTTTTTTTCCGAGAAAAAGGCATACAAACCCCACAGAGCTTCAATGCCATAGGGCAGATATATTCTACAAACTATGGTATGTGCAAAATGTATTCTGAAAACAGGTGAAGCTGAAAGAGCAGCTCCATGGGCAGATCCTGAACTTTAAAATAATTATACTGAAGCATTCAAAATATAATCTGTCCCTTATGTCAGTGGTTTGAAGTTTGCCAGGACTGAGCCTATGCTTTGTAGCCCACTGATTTACACACACACTGCTGCTGCTGCAGTAGGAAACAAAGTCTGTGATACTCCAAGGAAATACTGATGACTGTGGTAAAACAACATGCTTTACTCTGTCAACCCGTGTTGCACCTGAGTTAGCTACTTGGAATGGTGAGCAACAAGACAAGCAGGACAGTTGCAAGTATTTAATTAATTAGTTAATTACATTAATAGCATAAAAATTTAAGATAGTTGCATATTGTCAAAGTTTTCCATCTATGCTTTTTGTTGTAGCACATTTTTTCCCCAGAATTAACATCAGGCTGGCTCAAATTTGCAAACATGGTATGTGAGCACAACAAGTTTCAACAAATTCCACCAAATTTTTTCCTTTAAAACCACACATAGGTCACTTTTATAGAAAAGAACTGTGGAAGAAAAGAAAGTAAGTTGATTTAAGGCATAAAAATCAAACAATAAATAAAAATCAGTATTAACTTAAAATAATGACTCAAAAAAACAAGAGGAAAGAAAAATGTCTGAGAAAGTTGCCAGAGTATGTTCAACAGAGCAGAGAGTCTTCTGCACCACCAGCCTTGATTCTGGTATTATTTGTCTCTGCAGCCAACATTTCAAAATGAGCACGATGAAACACTTTTAATTTCCTACCTGTTTTTTAAGTGGCAAAAATATACCATGACACGAAACTGAAAGAACAGCCAAGCTCACTCTTGACTCAATATACCATAGATTCACAGAATATCCTGGGTTGGAAGGGACCCACAAAGATGATCGAAGTCCAGCTCCTACCTTGGCCTTTATCTAATGCCATGGAGTACAAATACCACACTTTTACCCTTGTCTGGCAAGTGTTGAGCACGGGCCCAGGTCTTTGTGCTATGGAGCATCACCACTTTTTCCCTGAATGGCCAGAGCCAACTGGATGGATTCAGCAAACGTGGCAAGTCAGCTGTGCTGCCAATAACAGCTCCTCTGCCTGTCCTGACAAGGCAGATCACAGACTGGGGGGTGTCCAGGAATTCTACCTGCACATCTTCTGCTGTGACCTGTTTGACGTTACACATCTCTCTCCAGTCACGGCCTGATCCCGCACACTTGTGGTCATGCAAGGTCGTGTGCCTGAGGCAGGTGTTTGTTAGAATCACCGCGCTCTGAACCGCAGGACTTTGGAATCACAGTGCAGACAGAGGAGTAGCAAACACTAAGTGACAGGAATGTATGGCTGTCCTTACTTCTCCAGCTATTGAAAAAGACACTTATAACGGACAGACCTGATGAACTACGAGCTAAAAGCAGTTTGTGTTATTGCAGACTGTGTGGCAGCACATAAACTTGACAGGCTGGAAAACAGTTAAGCTGGAAGACTGAGATGAATTCTCTCTCTTACAGATGATGCCACCTTGTACCCAGAGTGACACTACTGCAGCTACGGGCATGAGACCTCACACTGAAACAGACAAAATGAAATGCCAGGAGACATGAAAATAAAACTTTTGTGCTGCTGGACTGCAATCTGAGGCAGCATTCCCCAGCTCAGAGAGCACTGATGTAGGAGCGGCAGAGAGATTCGGGTACAAGTCGTTCTGTCCATCCTGCTCAAAGGATGGATTGTGTATGGACAGCAAGGAACAAAGCGTAGGAGGCTCAATGAAGCCACAGTATTTGTATGCTACTAAGGCACGCAGAAAACTAATGAAGAAATACAGCTAGGATTTTATGTCCTCTGAAAGGCTTTCTTCCCCCTCTAATTTACAAATTAGTTATGTTTACTTAAATTTTCATCTTTGCCTTCATATGTGGAGATTTTACCTTGATTGCTGAGACATCCCCTCAAACTTGTTTGCAGCCTTAGTTGAAGGTGGGCCCAAATCATTACCTGAGGTGAAAAAAAGGACCATTAAAAAACCTAAATAATTAGGATAACTGAGATACAATCAACAGAGGGTGCAACTTAAAGAAAAACACATATTCCTCCAAGTCTCTTCTATTCAAGATGTCTAAAAGATCATGTAAAACTTCATTCTTCATTAATAACTTTGTAGCTGAAAAAGCAGCAGGGATCATAATAATACAACATGACCTTTCATGTAACACATTTTAAAACAAGCCACTGGTAGCTCACATCTTCTGGCAAGGGAAGATTGAATGACATTGCTGTAGGGCATTTGTTTTGAAATAGTGTTTCAATTTTCCTTGAATAGAAGGAGATACTGCAGGCCAGTATCAGACAAATTTATCACAGATGTTTACATTTTTTGCTATGAGGCATGTCTTTTTAAAACCACCATGAATTTGATTTTATTCACAAAACATTAAATTTCTAAGGATTGGTATTTTGTCCTGTGTAAAGAACAGCCTTTACTGATTTAATGACTAAGTCTGTATGTTCCCATTACCTGCACATTGACCACTGGTAAGGAAAAGATCCTGGCTATACTGAATTCTGTGAAAAGGCAGCAAAATCCAAACCCACGTGCTCTGGACTCCTTCAGCAGAAGGCTTCTCTTCCACTAGCCATCACCATTGCAAGTTATAATGATATTAACTCCTTTGGTTTAGTGCCTTTGCCATTCCCCCTCATCTCTTCTATTACAGCATGTCTTAGCAATCTTAGAACCAAGTTCAACAACCATTAGTAAATTTTGTCATTGAAATAGATGCAAAGTGACATTTAATGAGCCAAGAACACAAAATGCTTCTCATACAAAAGAATGACACGTTTGCCTAAATACCATTCTTAGTGCATTGAAGTCTAAATGAAACAGCAGAAAAGGCTCATGCTGAGCCTTGCTAAAAATATGTTTGTATTTAAAAGTGGGGAAAAAAGCAACAAAGGTAAAACAAACAGCAAACCTGTCACATGTAGATCCTATGGATAAAGCAAGGAAAAATATCTCATGGTTGCTATGGAAATCCAAAATAATCTACATGACATTTTTAGAACATCTTTGAATAGTAACTCAGTTTGCTTAGATATAAGCTAAGGATTGCTCTGCTTGAAACTTCAATTAATGCACAGATTAGAAAACATGCTGAAATTCAACATAGCAAAAAATATAACGACACAGAAAAAAGCTTCTGAAAGGAAAAGCAGTGAACATCTGACAATATTCTTAAGCCAAAAACATGAAGGCAGATACAAGAAACTCCCTCTTTTATAAACATAAAATTTAATACTTGCTTAAAAATCAAAAAGGACTTTCAAAAAAGCTTTTGCACAGATCTCAGATAAGAAACATGGGGAGGAGAGGTCTCCCTTCCATCCACTGAAGTTTAGCCTGCACTGAAGAGCAGCAAAGAGACAGAAAAAGCCATGTTCTTCTCCAGCCCTGCTCTGACAAGGTCTTCTACTGCTACAAGCTTCTCCATCTTCAACTGCACACCCGCACCTTTCCCATATTTTCCTTTTCCTTTATCTGTTGTCTAAAGATTTTAAAGAAAAGTTGGCACTGGCTTAGCATCTTATCTTACCATACCTTCATTCTAATAGCGTTACATTATGTAGTATTCTAGTACATGGTACTTTAGGTGCTGTTTTGGACTTAAATATTTGGGATTTTTTACATTTTTAGAGTCCAAGCCCTTCAAAATATCTTTACTACCTCTGAAATAGTACAGGACTACTGGACTTCAGAACACAGGACACATTTTTTTTCCATATCCCAGACCTCTAAGAAGTAGGGAACTGAAAAGATTGACATTATTTGTATTCCTTGAGAAAAAAAATCTTTGCTTTTCCTTGGACTCTGTACTTTTCTCCATATTGAATCCTAGATTCAATCACACATGAATACTCCATGATTGACCACATTTAACTCAATTTGCTGTAAAAATGGTGGTTTTAGCTTAGCATTTTTATTTTTAGGCTAGTAATTGTGTGTTTATACTAGAACAGAGAGAGGATACTCCTAAGATATAAGTAGTGTATGGATGACGCCCTTATGCAAGCATTGGATTCCAGCTTGAAAATTTACAGATTCATGAAAATCCTGCCACAAAAACTAAAATTATAGAAAATTACATGGGCCTGAGATTTATAGCTACAGAAAGAAGCTGACTGCATAGAGCAATTTTTATTGAAAAGAGGAAGAATCTGAGCAGTCTGGAAAATAGTGTCTAAAAAGCATCTGTCAGAAAGGTATCCTGGTATAAAAAAATGATTTTTAAAGTGCTGTTTCTGTGTAACTTCTGCAGATAGAAAGCTGCAAACCTATCAGTCTCTGTGTAGGTACAGACAACATCACAAAAGCCAAATACATATCAAGACAACACATTCCCACCAGTGAGGTGTGAACATTTCATGGGAGAGATGTGGCACAAAGCCCTCTGGCAGTTGTGAGACCTGCACAGACTCATTGAGGTCCGTCTGTCCCAAATCTACATCGACCTGGATTAATGAGCTCCTCAGAGCAGCATCAGGGGTGAGGAGGCAGAGGCAGAGCAGAGCAGCAGCTGAGGGGGCTGGGGTGAGGGCAGCCTGGGCAGCTAAGGCAGAGAGAGGGAAGCAGTGGAGGAGGTTGGATTGGGCCCCAGGGGAGTGTGGAATATTTTCAGCTTTCTCAAGTGAGACTTGGCTGCAGCAGCCTGGGAGCCAGAGTGACAGAGGACAGAACTCTTGATTTATCTGAGCTGACGTTACATCAAGCTGAAATCATTGGAAAGCAAGCACCAGGTAAAAAGAAACCAAAGATCATATATCATCCATCATAAAGGTTTTCCCTTGCCCTTTTGTTTTGCATTTCAAAACTCACCCCAAGGAATTGGGCCCTTATTCTGGGGTCCATGAGGTAGTGGGCTTGGTGGGTCAGAGAGGGTTCTTTTGTGTCCTGGGGGTGGGGGAGGTGGTCTCTTCTTGGAAAGAGTGGAGCTGCCACTAGAGGTTTGAGTGCTTAGAGGGAGGGTTGAAGGTGGGCCTGCAAAATAACAAACAACCTTCTTACAAATACATGTGCATAAACGTCAAAGCAGCACTGAAAAATTCACAGTCAGACCCACAGCAAAGTGCAGCAAAAGACTAAAATAAAAAGACAAGCCATGCCAAAACACTGTTTAGATTAAACGACATGTTCACCACATTTTTGACCATCTCAGCTGTGGGAATATAAGGAACTTGACAATAGAATGACACGTGTACTTATGTTTAAAAAATACAGAATCACACCAGGATTTCTAATTTTAGGCATTGTTTAAAAAAAAAAGCCCTGAAAATTAAGTAATATTTAGCACATGGGATTAAAATTCCTTTTAATTTATACCAGAACAAAATAGCTTTCTAGATATTCTACTATGTGAGTGTTTTCTCTTCCAGAGCATCCCATACAAACTCTGCTAATAAACTGGGGGGAAGGAAGGAAATAGAGATCTATCTACAAATTTTCCTTGCACTTTCAAATATGATTGTAAGCTTGAGAAGCTTTTCTGTAATTATTTTCCTTTTTTTCTGTGGCTTAAATAAATCAAATTATGCATTCTAAGAGCAATGCAAATTGCTGTACACAGTATAAATTAAACATCAGAGAAGTCCTTTCTGAGACTGAGATTAGATATTTAATGGTAGCAGCACTTATAAGAGCTTATGCAGTCACTCCTACCCTTAAACACTTTTATTTCCCCTTGCATTAATGTTGGCACAAGTATTATTCAACACAACGCTTGTTTCACAGGATATGGGAACAGATACAGATTGAAAGACAAAATAACCCAGAGGAAAGACAAGAGTTTTCCCTAATCAGCTTCACCATTGACCTTCAAAAATGTCTCTAATAAGAAGCTCAAGGAATCAGGCAGAGCAGGGCACAAAACATAGTGAGGGGACAACTGCTCAAGTCAACTGCCATTACTGCCCAAAGAAATTACTTGTAACACTTATCTAAATTAGTTCTACATTAGGTTAGAACAGCTCTAAGGGTTTTGTTGTTGGGCTTGTTTTCTTTTTCCTGCTAGGTTGCTGTTTTGTTTTGCCTTTTTTTTAACTCTTTTAATCTAACCAACAACTAACACTATTGCAGACATGACCTTGCAATAAGTTTTGCACATCACAGAGCTTTGCCATCACAGTCTGGATAAAGGCAGAAAAATCAACATAAAAATTTAAAAGCAAAGTCTATTTATATCTGAAACTTCAACTCTATTGTCACAGATTTTGTAGCACTGTAGAACCAAATAGCCTATTTTTGAAAATCTAATTTATTTGAACAGTATTTGAGACAAAACTCTTCATTTAGTTACTTGACATATACCCTACCCTGTGCACAGGAGGAGAGCTGCCTCTTTAAAAATATTTGTGACAGTTGACTATAGGTAAACTGAAAATTATCAAAGCTTGCACTCCTTCCAAAATTATTATATATCATAAAAGTATTAAAATCTGTGAAGAATAATATTTGTTAAAATCCCTTAGATGAAGCATTATACACTGACAAAAGTAAGTTCAATGATCACATAAGCATGGGTCTGTTTGCCAGATATTTTCAGTGGGTGACCTCCCTCTTTCCTCTAATCTGCAAAGAAAAAATTAATAGAACTTCCCATAATGAGTTAATAATTCAATCTACTCTCTTCCAGATTCAAGCCTGGAAGGCCTTCTGCTGTGCAGGAGAATATCTCAAGCACAAGCCCAGCAGGTATTTTGGGCCTGGCTTAATTAATTGGTTACTTCGGTAAATCAAATTATATATTTTGCGATTGTTCCTCTCAATTTACTTTCAAGTTCACATTAACTGACAAGAAGTCAAATGCCAGTGCAATTTAATGATTGTTCCCCAGTTTGCATCCTTATCCTTTCTCATTTTAATTTCTTCCTCGAGCTTAAGGAAGCAAGGTAATTTAAACTGTGCATTGAAATGTTTCTGAAAGCAAAATCAACATTTCTCATGTTACATTTTGACTGATGATCCCTTAGACTTCTGCAAGTTATCAATTCTTTCTTCTCTTAAAGAAATACAAACCAAAAGTTATTCTATAAACCATTACATAGCTCAGAGCTTATCTAGGAATGACGAGGGGAAAAGCAATAGTCAATATCCACTGTAAACAGCGACATTATTCTTAAAGCATGTCGAGAACATCCAGGGCACATCAGAGCAGTGTTTGTCTCCTGCCCTGACACGCGGCACTGGAGGGTTTCACGCAGCCAAAATGCCTCCAAGTGGGAATGTCCGACCGCCCCCTGGCGCCCGCCTGCCCGCACTGCACCGACACGGTCACGGGTCACCCACACCGGGCTTAAAGGGAAAAGAGGCCAGGAAATGCACCGAAATAGTACTGAGCACTCACTGCAAAAATAAAACTTCAGGCATGAAGTAAAAGTTGTACTTCTAATTGCCAATAAAATGAAATAAATAAAATAAATATAAAAAATAAATTAAAAATTAAAATATAAATTAAAAAAAATAAAATTTAGTAGAATTAAAAAAAAAACCTTAAAATTATGTTACAGGGGCATATTTCACCTGACTTGTATATATCCAGACATCACAGATAAGTTGACAAACATCACTTCATAACTTTCAAAAGTTCACGTGGCATACAAAAGTCACGGGGAAAAGGTGTTAAAGTATTAAAAATTGTGCATCCTTTAAGACTCCTAGCATTTGTTCCTATATTAGACTCACAGAAGGAATAAGTATGAATATAGAAGTCATACATTAATGATTACATGGCTAAAATACAAAATAACTTACTATCAAATAGACAAAAAAATAAAGGAAAACTTCAAAACATCTTTTCAGAAAGAGGTATAAAGTCACTTCATGCTTTGAATAAAAAAAACATGGGAAAAGTTCTTGAATCTAAATCAGTTTATGGAAATAGATGGTGAAATAACACAAAGATCTGATGATGTATGAACTGTCTGTAGAATTGTTATGAAATACAAGGTATCATAGACTCACTCAGGTTGGAAAAGACCTTTAAGATCACCAAGTTGGACATTGCCAGGTCCACCACTAAACTGTGTCTCTGCTCCTGCACCTCTGAGGTTTTGTTCCTGAGGAATATCCAGCCTTCCTGGATTTCTTTGCCCTTCAGGACTGTTTCCCAGGGGACTCTGTCTACAAGGCTCCTAAAGAGGTCAGAGTCTCTCCCCTGGAGGTCCAAGGCGGCAGTTCTGCTGATCCTCCTCCTTACTTTTCCAAGAATTCGGGATCCCTGTGCCCAACATGGTCACCATCACCCATGAGTCCTTCTCTGTTCACAGACAGCAGGTCCAGTGGGTGCATTCCCTAGCACGTTCCACCACCAGCTGTGCCAGGAAGTTCACTTCCACACGCTCCAGGAACATCCTAGAGAGACATCTGGTAAGCTGAACAAGGGCCAGCGATTGTGAGACTTCTCCCAGCTGCTTGTAGAATATCTCATCTGCTTCTTCATCTTGGTTGGGTAGTCTGTAACAGACTCCCACCAGGATATCTGCCTGCTGACCTCTTCCTTGATTCTTACCTATAAACATTTGACTCTACTGTCACCATCACACAGCTCAGACACTCAAAACACTCTCTAACCTACAGGGCTACCCCACTGCCTCTCCTTCCTTGCCTGTCCCTTCTGAAGAGTTTATAGCCAACCACTGCAGCACTCCAGTTGTGTGACTCATCCCAGCCTGTTTCCATGATGACAGCCATGTCATAGTTTTCCCACAGCATAACAGCTTCCAGCTCCTCCTATTGGTTGTCCATGCCAAGTGCATTTGTGTAGGTGCACTTCAGTTGGGATATTGATCCCACCACCTCTCTGAGGGAAGAAGCCCTAATTCCTATGTGACTGTTTCGAGGCATTTCTGTGCTTTGTGTCTTTGCTGCCACATGGCTCTCCATTTCCCTCCTCCACTGGGACAGCAGACCAAAGGACCTCACTAACACACTCCCTCAAACACTGGTGCGCTGCCCCCAGGAATGTCTCTAGCGTGCCTGGTTTTATCCATTTAAATCTAGGTTAAATCTCTTCCAATGAGCACTAATCACTCAGTGGCAGGTATCATTTCTCCCTGGCCAGGCTGGCAGAGTTACAGTCCCTTCCTGCATGGCATTCCGTGCAAACTCCCATGCAAAGTGCTGCACCCTGCCCTGTTCACTCGCACTGTTCCTGGTGCTACACAGGAGTTTCTTTATACATGTCTGAGCTTGGCCACCTTTGCTCCTGGCCCTGCTCAGGTCCCCTCAGCTGCTGTGGCGTGAGCTGTGGGCTCCTTCCAGCTTTCCCACTCCCCCGAGGTTCCCTGGTTAAGGAAACACTCCTGGGCCTGTGTGGGACATGCCAGAGCTGTTGCCTCAGCAACTGTATGTGTGTGTGTGTGTGTGTGTGTGTATACACACATGTATGTATATATATATACATATATGTATATATGTGTGTGTGTAAAAACAAAATCTCAAAACAATTGTTACATGACATTTTTAATGATACAAGACCAGGGTAGATATCTTTAAGCAATTAGAGCAGTTATTTTTTGTGATTTTTAACCAGGCAGCAATGAAGCCATCCATTTCTCCTCCATAGACATCTTAATCATGATTTCTCACATAATTGAGGTATTCACGTTTCATAAAGGATATTTTCCTAACACAAGCAAAACCAACAAAAACACCCACTTTGACCTAATTTTTTTTTTTTTAATTTTGCTTCTATTGGGCTTTCTTTTCCTCAGCAATTGCTTTCAATACTGACTGTTGTTATACTTTATCCTTTTTTCATGTTACAAGGATCAGGCTTTCATGTGTAAATAGATTAAATAATCCCAAAGTTATTGTATGAAGGTGAATAACTGGATAAGGTCTGCAATTAATAGTGCATTGCCCTTCAGTGTTTGTGCAGTTAGTATAGTAATGATTAATTTGTGTACTTGTGAAACCATGCAAAGCTGTTGCCATCCAATTAAGAAATGGTGGGTTTAGAGTGTAAAACCCCCACTTATGTATTTTTTTTTTACCACTTAATGAGACAGAGGGAAGAACCAAAATTCCAGTTAATGGTAGAACGGGCACTGAAAAGGAAAGCAATTTATATTAAAAATAGTATTTTTATTTACAAGTGTTGTTATTATAATTTTTAAATTTTCCATGAGTGACTTTTTGCACAGATATTACTAAAAACCTTCTTCAGTTTGTCTTACCTCAGATCATATGTTTTCAGTATCAAAAATAAGACCATAATGAAAATAAAAAATTATTGTGATCATTCTGTGAATAAGAAAGGTAAGAATTTATACATTGATGCAACATTAGCACTTTAACTACATTTTATAATTAATGCTAAAAATGTCCTGTTAAAAAAAAAAAAGACAAAATTCATTGAAGAATGTTTTATTTTGTGTTGATTCAGAAATAGAACAGCCCATGAAAGCAACAGTGGTCAGCCAGCCTTCCATTCCTACTATGATATTAAAAAATACAGAGTTTGAGTGGGATAACTAATATTATTTAATCAAAATGTGCAACACATTTATAAGAATATTTAAAAAACTAAGTCATTAAGTATACTTAAGAGAAGTATATAAATCCTAAAAGCATTCAGAAGAAACAGAAGAAACCAGATGACTTTAAAGGCTGAGGTAATGGAAATGAGATTAACTACATTTGTGCTACAAATTAAGGACTTCAGTTGAAAATGGTAGTAGTGACTGCGTAATGCCTGTTATGCCACAGTATGATACAATCATGAAAAAAATAAGAAGGATGTTTTGATGTGGTATTTCCAGTAGAAAGAGCAAATTTTACTGCTGTCCCGACACTTCCAGCCACTTGTATTTCAGAAAGCCATTTTAAACAGCAAAGGTATGGATAAGAGCTAATGTGATGAAAGGATAATTTAAATCATAGGAAAATGAAAATACTCTTCGATCAGATAAGGTGAAATAATCTTGGTTTTAGTCTAAGAAACCAGAAATGAAGACCTGTAGGGTTGCCCTCCAGGCAGTGCCCTGATATGGTCACCAGTGACTGAAAAATCACCAAAGCCAAACAACAATGCTGGTACATGCACAAGGTAATTTAGTGGACTTAAGAAGATTCCTAATCCTGTGAGCAATGCAGTCAGACAACTTCTAGAAGTTATTAAGTTATTAAATTCAAATAAGGTAATTTGGCTAGAAAGTGAGTCTGATCTAGTGAAGGAGCAGACAATATCACAGTGTCTGCAGTAGCAGTGGAATGGAACCACAAAAGAAGAGCATTTGGGTCTAGGTACCTAATGTTAGAGCTGAGACAAAGTGCAAAATATGAAAACTCGTAGGTATTGAACATCCAAACTTAACATCATGACACAGAATTGATCCCTGAGCTCCATGTTTTTCCAATATGAGAGAAATAGCCAGAACTATAAAAAAATCAATTAAATTTTCAGCTAAAATGAAGGAAACCTGGCTTAGATTGCCTAATGTTCCTCCATAACTAGTTACCAACATCACCCTCCCATTGGATTTGCAATGAAAGTTGTGCAATGTGGCGAGTCATGCAACTACTTAAATATTGATTCTTTTTTTTGAAAGCTTTTTGTAAAACAACAGGTAGATGACCTGCTAGATGTCGGGAGCCATAATGTAGGTGTGCAAGCTGGAGAGAGCAATAAAAAAAGTTATTTGCAGACTGTTAGAGACTAAAGACTTGACTGGCAACACAAGTAAGTTGAATCTGAATAAGCTTAGATAAACTATTGCAAAAGCACACAGTGCTTGGCTCGGGCAGCTACTGCACTTATTCCGTACTTTTCATTCCATTAGGATAAACTAAACCTGTTGCAGAGATAGCAGAGAGTAGGATGTTTCCACAAATGACACAGTTCAAAGTAAAATATATGATCATTCCAGCATTTTTAGGAGTATTTTGAAAAGTTATAAAACTGGAAAGTCTGGACATGCATTATAATGATGTATGGAGGAACTTAAAACATCCCAATATCACCTCTTCCAACAATTACAATTATTTTCAACCAGCATGTCCACTGCAAAACATGAGCAAGAGTGGTGTGCCTTATGTAAATTGCTTTCAATTTACCTTCTTTCCCCAACACAAGTTCACTGGATGGCTTCCTGTCCCCTGTGGCACCTCAGGAACACCATGGAACCTTTCTATCCAGGAACTTCACTGGCCAATGAAGCCAGCTAACAGAGGGATACAGGGAGGAGGGTTTTTTAAAATATAGAACAGGTTCTGGAAAGACAGTTTTATATGTATGCCCCAAAGGATAAAAAACCATGAAACTTTAAAATCTTCCATGCCTCCTTCTAAAATACAGACCTCAGCTGTCCATTCCCTACAGACTCCATGTGCCAGCAGGGTCCCATGGTATCTGTCAGGGCCTCACAGCAGCACAGGGACAAAGATCAGATTACATTTGGGACAGAAGGTAAGTTTAAATTTAATTACAGATTCAATGCTTTTCTTACTCTTGCTATTTAGGGAACTTAATGCAAAATGTAACACTGTTTTCATATAATCTTAACTCAAATATTAAAATGAACTTTTACAACAACAAAAAAGATTTGATAAGCAAGCTTGTCCGTTAAACTGTGATGTAAGGGATATAATCTATTATTACTAATCTCAAAAGAGCAGATAAATTCTAGAGGATTATTTTTTTCCTACAGAAACGAAATTAAATCTGACTGTTTCAAAATTCACATGTGTCACAAGTGTCTATGGTAGTAGAAAATCTCTGCTTCTTTTTCTTTTAAACAATCTATTTGGGAGTTGGAAAGGGGGAGATAACAAGGTGAGGCACAGTTTATAATGAAGCATAAGTGCATCCATAGTGATGCATCTAGAGTAACCTTTCCACACTAATGAGTTTTCCTATGCATGTTCCCCATCTTTTTGAGTCTTCAATTATTCCTGTAACACAGGCATGTATTTAATGTAAACCCCTAAAACTGATTAAATACTTTACAGTATTGTTGAATGGATACCAACCAAAAACTCAGTATTACTCACAGACTGTAGAATTTTGGCATGTTTGAAACAGAGAAGCACAGTGACTTTACTGTAACAGGAGTTCTATTAAACCCCTCTCTCAGACAGACTCTGTGAATCTGGCATTTTCCAGTCTGATGAAGCAGTTAATGTTACATTAGAAGGCAATACTTCTCTGTATTTTGTGATAATATATGATTTTGCTGTACTAGAAATAAGAATTTCTTTTGTGTAATCTTTGACATGAAAACATGGAAGAACTCAATGCCTCGATTCTTTCTGAGTAGCTTCAGTGCTTGTCTAGGAACACCCAGGAACTTGCAGAAACACCTAGAAAAATGCCTAACATTTCTGAAACTAGAATACATACTCAGAATGAAATGTGCACATCAATATTCCCCTTCCTGAAGAAAAAGACAATTTTCTGAGTAAGTATGTATGAGACCTTCACTATATAATGACAAAGAAGTAATGTTGATTATAATCCATCTAAAGCTGACAACATACTAAGCAGTGTTTACAGACAGACACCAGACAAGATCCTTAATCACCTTCAGGAAATGAGATTCATGATTAGTTTCCAAGTCTTGCAACTTTACAGCAAGAAAAAGTTATCCTAGGTCAGACTGAAGGAACATCTAAGCCACTAAACTGTGTCTGCAATGGACAAACCATAGCAGACTGTTACACAGAGCATGTTAAAGGGATGGAGGAGAGGAAGGAAAAGGTTAGAATCTTGAAATGCCAACAAAGAGGTCAACATAGTAAAGTTACAAGGAATACAACTGAGTCCCCAATGAAACTGATATAAAAAACCCCATGTGAAAAATGCAAACCCTGGCAAAATCACTTTGCCTTGTAATGGGAAACAAACCTGTTTAAAAGAGAACCAAGGGATCCATCTGAAAGCTGCCAATACATGGTAAAGTTTGATGGTGGAACAGTAGTGCTTAAGCACAGCATCTGAACCATGTGAAAACAAAGACCTGATGCCAACACACTGTGTCCTGTCCCTTTTATTCTTTCATATTTTGATGGGGCCATCTCTGTATCTTTTTTAAATGAAGTTAATTACCAGTCAAGAAATGAAATATAAAGATACAACAGTGCTCACAAAAGGGAGCATCAGGATAACTGCTGAAGCATTAGACTATACTGTAGCCTTGATTGCAACTGAAGATTTCTCTAACAAGTCTACTGTAAAAACACAATTTGTCTGTTTCTAAACTAAATATGTAAAAGGGGGAAAAAGATAAGTGGCTTCTTTGTCCTAAAAAGTAGATCTGCACAAAATATAATACAGCAACATGTTTTGCTCCATAAATATATCCTCTAAACTTGAAGACTACAGATATCTAGGTCAAACCAACACGATCCACTAGAGCTGCATGACTAAGTCTCTTAAAATGAAACAACTTTAATTTAGCAGAATATTAGTTTATTTTTCACCCATTCATGTGCAGGATTATAAACGAGTCCATTACTAAATATCCCCCCCCCTTTTTTAAGTTTAGAACATCCACTGTACCATATTACTGCATCAATGCAACAAGAAAAACATGCTACATCTTGAAACACTGCAATGTACCTGATTAAAGGAAGGATAACTCTGGGAAAAATCACTGCTTGCAAGTGTAGGTTGGAGACAGACTTACCTTTGCCAGCATTTCTAGAGGAGGAGGAGGAGGAGGAAGAGGAGGAGCATCGGCAGTTGGAGAGGTGGGTGAGTCTGTGCTTGCAAAGATCTGGTTGGTAAAAGCTCCATAGGAGAGTCTTTGCTTGTCTCTGGGAGTGCTAAATGAAGGGTGAGTCAGTTTGTCTTGTGGAGAAATGCTTGAAGAGTGACAAAAACTTTGGGGTCTTGGAGATCTTTCCTTTTTTATAGGACTGGGCTGTGAATAGAAAAACAAATACATTATGCAGCTGTCTAAACACTAAATATAGTTAATATGTTTGGAAAATAATATACTAGAACATATTTTAGTGAACACGAGCCTAATTTTTTTCTTTATTGGACAAATAAGCCCCCGTTCCTCCCTTTTTCAGCAATTCAACCTGAAAGGTGCTTTCTTCTAACTGAAAATTAAGATTGTAGTATCAAAAAATCATCATGTATACAAAACTAGATTTAATCTTAAGCAGGAGATACAAACTAATAATATACCAATATCAGACTAATAACGTTTTTAGAATACAAGAGTAATTTTCAGTACATATAGCCCTTTACTCAGACCAGATGATTATCCTCAAGTATCAAGTTTAATGGGAACCCCACCGATTCCCATTAAAAATAGACAAACAGTTCTGACAGATCAGATGTATTTGGTGCCTGAACTAGCAATATATTCCATGATACAGCTTTTTTAAAACGTGTATAATTGCTCTTTGAAGAAATTTCACACATCAATTTTTGCCTGCTGCACGTTAATGGCTGCATATGGAGCACGATCTGTTTCCCTGCAGCTCTGGTTCAGGCTATTATCTGCAGCACAGTATCACTCATCCTCCCAAGGCTCCTTGCACAGATGATCATTTTGTTCTCTACTGTCCTTGAGGACATGTAAATTATTTCAGTTCCTGAATCTTTCAGTCTCAAGTGTCACAGAAAATGAGAAGTTGTCCACATTTCTTTCTGCAGCGCTCATATAAAATAGGAGAGGTGTATTGGCATTTAGTACAGAAACAGAGCACACAGTAATTAACTGACTTGCTTAAGTAGGACACTGAGCCTCAGTTTTCATTTATTCTAGGATGGCAATTATCCTATGCCCTCAAGTTTTGTCTTTCCATTACTTCTGTCTTTAAAACCAGGAATATATAGCACAGCACAGTTTGTGAAAAATAGAGTTATTTATTCAACAACTAGGTTTTTAATTAATTTATGGAAAAAATAAGTACGTAAGCTTTGGATTTCTTCCAGCTAAAATTTAACAGTCTGGAATTCAGAAGAGGATAAAATGACAACAAAGTAATCTAGATTTACTGATTTATATTATACCGTATGTCTTGTCAAAGCAAAACTTTTGAAACTCAAGTCCATAACAACCAGGTTGACAGTGTATATTCAAACAGCACTCTGTCAGTCTTTAATACAGGCCTCAAAACTATTCCCCCCCCCAAAAAAAAATATCTATAAGAAAAAAAAGGTTAAAGTAGGTCTCTAATTCTATTTACTACCACGGATCTGAAATGCTGAGAGTTTGTGTGCAAAGCCCTCCCAGTGATCCACACTTACCTTGTCATCTAAGTCATCGTCACTTTCATCGATTTCGTCCTGCCGAAGATTCCATTCATACTCCACATGAACATGTGGGTTTAGCTTTCCTGCCTTGGCTTGAGAAAGCTGAAAGAAATAAAAATTCTTGCTAAAATGCTTGCTGTTATTTTGGTGTTAACAAACTTAGCTTTGTAATGGCAAGAAAAAAACTGAAATGTTTAGAGGTTTACAACTTTTCCAGATTAAAAAACCCACACAATTTCAAGGCGTTCACACAAACATCCTTCATTTCTTTGTGGTATAGAGAAACGGCTAAAAGACAAAAAGAAAAGATTTTTTTGGAAATGGCAGAAATTGCCATGTTTGACAAGCATTTGAATAGATGACATCAAGGTTTACACACAAAAGAAGAATGCATCTGGAGCCCTCCTTTAAAAACAGAAAAGGCAAAACCTATTTATAAATTCTACTATATACAATTACTGTCCCTCAAAATCACAGTCTTTGTACTCAAATCAAAAGAAAAGATATTTAACCTTTATTTAAATATTTTGCCTCTCTCTCCCTGGATGAGGCCAACATGTCTTAAGCACAAAATTCCTCTACTTTGCCAGCCCAAATAACATATTAAAAAACTATTACTTCAATGATCAGCAAAAAAACTAAAAGAGCAGTTCATGGTTATTCTGAGGAGATAAATTCTCCTTTCTAAGGCCTAGATTTTCCATCATTATTTATTCCTTCACATCCTTTGAAGTGTGGTCTACTAGTCGATTCAGGAAAGCCTTTAACCATCTTCCTGAAACAAAATATGTAATAAAGAAAGTATTTCCAATCTGTTATGTAAGTATTCATGAACCTACTTGAGTTGAAACTGAAGTTAATTACACAGTTAAGACTTCAGTTATGCAACAGAAATTAGCTTAGTACATGCAAACACACAGCTATTTATCTTGTACTTTGTTATTGCCGGTGGTAAACAATATGCTCATTCATGGTTTTTTTTCCACTCTTAACCATATCTCATTGCCACTTTTGAAAAAAAATGCAGAAATCATTTTCCTCTTCAAAAATAAAAAAAAAAAAAGAGAAAAGGCATAAATGCTCTATGAGAGTTAGCTGAAATAGTCAGTGAGGTATTTATGGAATTTGGATTACAACAGCTGAAACACTTAACTGCTAGATAAGCTCACTGATAACATCCCCTTGTTTTTGTTTGTTCTATAACACCATCAGCTGGTCCACATTAAGGGTAGATGTCACTTTACTGAAGTGATACTCTAAAGAAAAATTGTGTGCTGTAAAGCCGATCTGTTTTTCAGTTGACAGAATACTCAAACTACTGGAAACGGCACTTACACGGCAGCCGTGGCACCATCTGAGAAGTCAGTGACAGTACCACCTTATCAGCCATAGCAAAATGTTGACTTGTATCCCCAGAAACACGGAAAATTATTTTGATTTCTGAAGGACAAGATGTCTTGATTATGCAATGATTAATTCATGACGAGAACTTTCATTCATCAAAGGAAAGGTATTAAAATTACCAGCTATGGAGCAAAAGTAGATATCCTTGGATCATCAAAATGAGGAAAAAAAGGAAACAGAATTAAGCAGCAAGTGACAACTGTTTTGTAAATTCTCCTGGTTTTGTCTAGCATGTGTAACTGCCACACTACTCAGACTTTTTAATACCTTGGTAGTAATTAAATTCACTTGCCTACTTAATGCGTGCTGGTGGCACCTCAGAGAGCCACGAACAAACAAGCTTGCTGGTTTGATGTAGAATCCTTATTCCTGGCTAACTGCTTCAGAGGAGTACATGGGAAAATTCTTAACACATTTATTTCTTGAACACCAATAATTTTCTCTAGTGGCATCTGTTAACATCCCTCATATGTTCTCAAAATTCCAGAAGGTTTTTGCTCTGATCATGTTCAGTAGAGGGACAAAGTCCCATAGAAGCTGGTGTTCTATATTTTTTGATATACTAAGTTGCAGACATTACACTTTTGCTTCTTTCTCCATTAAGCAGGTTTAAGTTGTTTCAATCCTCTTTGTGAGAAGACTTTCACCATCTCTAAACTACCTGTCCCATTAAATACAAAAAGCCAAAGCTGGAAAACACAAAGATCCAGACCTAAAAGATCTTGACAGATGTAATATTACAGAGGATTGTTTTGTACTCCTGATATAAAAGTCTTTAAAAAGAACTTCTGAGGTGATGAAGCCAAATGTCCTTGAATGATTTATTTAGTGGTATATGTAACCCTCCAGTGTTTAAGGTCTTCAAATATCTTGGTGAAAATAACTAGTACTGCCAACAGAAGTAACATTTTTTACTTGAAGTGTTACAAAGAAAATTACTGTTGTGTTTTAAGTCAGAAAATATTCACCTATGGTAGGGCCTTTAGATCAGCACGCAGCCAGCTGGCAGCAATACCACATGTGAGATACGGTGGTAATGACATATTAAGTAGATCACATTTTTTAAGCAGTAAACATTCCCCTTGCCTTTCCCCCCACAGATCCCTTCTTACCAGTTCCTCACACTGGACAGCTTTCGCTCTTTTTGCTGTGTCCAGAGCTGTCTCTCCAGCTTGGTTTACTACAAAATTAACAACACAAAAAAGAGCAATTCTTTGAGATGTCTAAAGAAACAATTAATTAAATTTCACTACTTGTAGCACAGTAACTTCTGAAAGTGATCAAAAATATCTATTTACTCTATAGCAGCTGCAGTTCTTTAAGATTCCACTCTAAGTGCTCATGCATTTCATGTATCATCAGGTTCTTTCTGAACAGCAGCGTCTGCTGGGACAGTTCCCAGATCCCTCCTAACCATCCTAGCAGAAAATATAAAGAAATTTGGTCATTTCAACCTCCATTTAAGACCTTTGCCAATAAAACTCTTACATGAATAATCAAGAAAAGCAAGTACAGAGGGTAAAATGGCTCAAAAAAGAAAACTATTCTAAGATTTAAAAAAAAAAAAGTAAATGTTGATCCAAGCACGTTTTACTTTGATTAATATTTAGAGGTTTGAAGCCTTAATTTGAAGACATTTGAACAAGAATAAATTTAAAACTTTCTAGCTAATTTGTCTTTATAAAGGCTATAAAATGGTTTACAATTTAAAATAGCATCCAATCAGAAAAAAAGCAATATCTGAGC